CTTTGTTTGTCTTACTGCTAGTGCTATGTTTGAGCCGACTAGCTATAAGGAAGCCATGCAAAGTGATGAAGCCAAGCAGTGGAAAGATGCAATGGATGCCGAGTACGAGGCCTTGCTGAAGAACGGCACCTGGAAGCTGGTGCGAAGAACCAAGGACATGAAGGTCCTGAACAACCGTTGGGTGTTTCGAGTGAAGTATCATGCAAACGGAGACATTGACAGGTTCAAGGCAAGGCTCGTCATCAAGGGCTTCATGCAGATTTATTGTATTGATTTCTTTGAAGTTTACTCGCCTGTGGTGCGATTGGAAACTTTGCGCATCTTGCTCACGCTAGCATCCATTTGGGACTACGAGGTAGACCAGATGGACGTCACCACTGCCTTCCTCAACGGAGGCATCGACGTGACGGTTTACATAGAGCAGCCCGAAGGCTATGAAGTGAAAGGAAAAGAGGATTTTGTGTGTGTTCTGTTGAAAAGCCTCTACGGCTTGATGCAGGCTCCTCGCGTATGGTTCAGATTGCTGAAGGATTTCCTAGAGAGCGAGGGCTACACACTAATGCAGTGTGAGGCATGCGTGGCAGTGAAGGCTGTCGACGGGTGGCTGGTGTTCATCTCTATCTACGTTGACGACCTGATACTGTTTGCGCCGACAAAGGCCATGATGAACGTCATGAAGCAGATGCTTTTCAGACGCTTCGTGATGAAAGACTTGGGGCCGATTCATTACATTCTTGGCTGGGAGATTACACGCAACAGGCAAGAAAGAACGATGTTCATCAATCAAAAGAAGTATGCCGAGAAAGTATTGCAGCGTTTTGACATGGCCAAGTGTAATGGATGCAGAGTTCCCAGTGATGTGAGTTTAAAGTTGTCAAAGTCAATGTGTCCTACAACTAATGACGAACGAGAGCTGATGAAGACTAAGCCATATCGAGCTGCGCTGTATGCTCCTCCTCCGCGTCGTACGCGAGCGGATCCATCGAAACTCAGGACGTATAGATCCTCATCCACCTGTACCGTCGGGATCGGGATCTGGATCCGGCGTTTGGGCTCTTTCCTAGGAGCGTTCCTAGTCAGCGCCTCGTCCATCTTAGCTCGAGGTGTGATGCTCGCGGCCAAGACTCCCAGGATCTCGTCTTCCCCTTTCGAACACTTCACGATCTCCAGTGTCCAAGGGGAGAGTAAAGCTGCCCATTGTCCCAACCGTCCTTGTAGACCGGCCGACTTAAACAGCCAAGCGAGCGTAGAGTGTCGAGTCAAGATCCGGATAGATCTTCCCACCAGCAGGTTATAATTGAGATCCAACACCCGCAGGAGTGCGAGTATCTCCTTCTCCACCACTCCGTAATTCAACTCATTCGGCTTTAGCGTTCGGCTGACGAAGGTGACCGGATGGCAAATCCCCTCATATTCTTGTACTAAAGCCGCTGAGACCGCCCAATCACTAGCATAGACTATCACCGTAGGTTGACGTTCCGGATCGAAATGGCGGAGGATGGGCGTCGTCGCGATCCTATTCCTTAGCTCCACGAACGCGTGCTGAGCTCGGATCCACCGGGATTCCGCCTCTTCCGAGCTCTGGTCCGTCGTCTCTATCCTGATTGGATCCTCTTTCCGTTGGTCCCGGGGGGATCCAGCTCCTGTTCTAGGTCGTCTTCTGGCATCTTACTACCTGGACCCTCTCGTGGATCCGACATCTCCAGGGCCAGAGCTTGTTGGATTTTGATTCGGACAGCTGGAGTAGTCATTGCAGCAAAATCTACCTCTATCAATTCATACAATACCGCGGCAAACAGGGCGTAATCCTCGATGAACCGACTGTTGTAGTTCAAACTGCCCAAGAAGGATTGTATCGCCCGTAACGACTGCGGGAAGGGCAAATCGGCTAACGAAGACAGGTCCTTAGGATTCGCCTCCAATCCCTCCTTGGAAACTCGATGGCCTAAGTAATCCACCTTGCGCATCCCCCAATAGCTCTTTACCACACTGATAGAGAGATTCCACTTAGTACACGCCTCCAGTAGGGATGTCACTCTTTCGCACAACTGATCCCACGATTTCGCCGGGATCAGAATGTCGTCGATGTAAGATCTGCGTCCTAACACGGACGGGGTTCCAGGATCCCCTGGCTCTCCTGCCTCAAATAAATCTACTTCCGTATGATCTTTCCCGGATCCACCCCTTTTGGGTTCCGGTATTCGGGTGAATCCATAGAGGGCGTTATCGATTAGACGTTGGTAGATCTGGGGTGCGTTCTTCAATCCAAACGGCATCCGGTTCCACTCGAACAGTCCAAACGGTGTGATGAATGCGGATATCGCGCGAGCTCGATCCTTCATAGTAACTATGTAGTGGGCCACGCCATTACATAAGTAGGTAGATTTATATTACAAAAGTAGGTGCAGCAGCACACGGCTAGCGTGTGCTGAACTGCCGTCATCCTATTGGTTGATATATGGGGAGCCAGACCCATTATCACCCAATAAGGGTTTGACGTGTATTTGAGTGGTCAGGGCAAGCTGCCCAGGACCTAAATAAAAACAGAGTTGATTTTCCTTCAGACTAAGCACTT